TGGTACCAATTAGTAAAACCACTGTATATCATCTCAAAACGTGTGTTTTCTGTTTTAATAACTGCATGTAACAAAGAGGTTCTTTCAGCTTAAAGGTGGAAGGGACATCCCACCCAGCAGTGCCTTGAAACGCCCTTCAGGCACACGTGAGGGGGGCAAACGACCGCGCGTGGGCTCGAGGAAGGAACGGGCACCTGCTGATGTATCCCCTGGGAACAGGCTGTCCTGGGGCCCGGGACTGGCAGAGCTCGGGGCAGGCAGTGCCAGGGGGGACGGTGCTGGCGTGGCTTTGCAGGGACGTGTGGCCAGGGAGGGGGCAGCTGCCCCCGCGCTGCCCCGCGCCCTTCCACACGCTCCTTCCCGCTGGAGTAAAGCCAGCCGAAACGCCGCCTCCCTGCCGCCGTGGCAGGGTGCTTCCTTCCAGTTATTTGCTGTGCTTGCTGAGTGGGGAACACGTCAGCTTCAACAAGCAAGAGGCTCCAGCTGGCCAGGCTGGCTGGTCTGGATCACAATATTTAGTCCTGCGCTCATCTCTTTTTGCCAGGGATCTGAGTATTAGTAGTGAAGGACAACAACAGGTATGGCTGAAGGCCACTCAACTGCAAAATGAATCTTGTTTTTCCCCAAAGCTTGGTTTCTGAAGGATGCTGACGACATCTGGTCATCCCTGTCAATCATTTGCAGTTGTGCCTCACAACATCTCACATGCAGCCCAATGGGCACATCCCTCAGTGAAGGGCAGAGCTCAAGGGACCTCACTGACACCCAGCAGACCAGGCAGCCCATGACCTTTGTGTATGCAGGTGCACACAGCTCTTGCCCTGAACATGCACTCACAGATGAGCACCTCGAGAAAGTAACTCTGGTGCCACTGCTCCTTTGTTTGCTTCTATTTCAATAGATAGTAATGGGCAGGCAAGGAGAGAGCCCTCCTCAGGCTTCAACTAAACACAGTTACCTGTGGAAAGACCATAACCCTTCCAGTAGTGAACAAGTGTCATTCTCTTCAAAGCTGGTTTTCTCTCACCCTCTGTTCCTTTTCTTCCAGCACTTCCCTCTGTTCCCTCCTCTTAAGCCTTTTCTTTCAGATCTACTTTCAGGACTGTCAAATGAGACGTGACTGCTGTGATCACCTCGTGTAACATCACACATAACACGGGTCATCAGACTAGAAGAGCTAACTGCTAGTGAAACTGCTGCTTCACCTGTGACAGGGAAACCAACACACCTCTGGCTCCAAGGTCAGGAGTACCTTTACTTAGGCAGTATTTCTTCTGCAAAGCTGTATCTCTCAGTAGGCTAAACATCACTTTCATACTCCCTGCAATCAACTGCTACAATGAAGAAAATGGCTGGAGAATTTATCCCTTTATAGAAAACTACAGAAAATATATTAACCTAGAGGTTAGGAATGATGTAGGCTTCCAGATTTCAGTCTCTGACACTGACTCTCAGCTACACAGTAGTATGCAGAGGACAGCTATAAGAGCTCTTATGGCCAGCCTAGTCTTGCAGGCAGGCTCTTCCTCTGCAGAGCCCCAGCGGCAGCACAGGCATCTAGCCGAGAAGGTAGGCACAGGTCAATCTCAGGGCATACTGAGCCCACCCTCCTTCAGCCAGCATTTTTCACCCTAACTCCATTAAAAATACATAAGCTGACATCCTGCCATCCCTCATTCTCTCATTCCGTGGTTAATGCACAAAGGTGGTGGTTAAACAACCGAACAGACCCACCCAGAGTGAATTTTCACTTGACTCCTACCCCAAACTCTCTTTTCCAACATACTGTTCTATCTAACAGGGAACCCACAGCTGCCTTCTTGCTGCCTGGGAAGATCCAGTATTTAAACAAAAACAAACAAACAAACAAAAAAAGTAAAAAAAGTAAAAACTTCCACTCTAAATCCATGACTGCTTCACAGGAGGGTCTCAGCTGCCTGGAACCAGCATGAGGTCCTTTTCAGCAAGTCAAGTCACTTCTGCACTCCTTTTCTCCCCATACTATTGACAGCTTATAATAAAATGGTTCAGATTCCTAATGGGTACCAGCCAGGAACAGGAAATGTCAATATTTATCCCAGTTTTCTATCACTTTAATTGCATTTTCAAAGTAGCAGGTTTACAAACTTGTTCCGTAGGTGTGGCCAGAAGCTGAAGGGTGAAACTCTCTCTAGGCAAAGGCTGAAGCAGCTACGAAGCCGTGCAGAGCTGCAGATACTTTCTTTTTGGTGTCTTCCACCCATTTTTTTTTTTTTTATTTTTGATTTGGCCTTCTAATTTCTTTTCCTTTGTTCTTTCCTCCCCACCTCCATAATTGTGCTGTAATGCATATTTAGGATGCTAAGAGCACACAAGAGGATTTTTTGAAGAACACAGCACAGTAAATGAGCTGTTTATAAAATTCAGATACACACATCACAGCTGCAGCCAGTGGGTGCTGAGTGAATTCAGCAATGTCTGGGGCTTCAGCAGAAGCTCATAGCCTCAGAAAACGTGGCCCTGAGGTGACAGTCTCTTTAGTATCACTGATTTAACCCAATTTTCCACTAACGCAATTCCAGTGAACTCTAGAGGAATAAAATAGAGGGGGGTAAAAAAGCAAAAATGGCTGAGGAGTGAAGAATACAGAAAGGTTATGAGGGCAGCTTTGCTTGTACATGAAAGCTGGTGAGTGGAAATAAGGTTTGTGCAGCCCCCCCTCTTCAAAAAGAACCCCACTCAAATATGGCACATATTAGAAGCCAGCAAATACATCCCGAGTTTAGAATGCCGAATTTCCACAAAGTTGGTTGCAGTAATAACAATAAAGGAGAGAATTTTCTCCATAACTGCTGTAATATTTTCCAACTACACTCAGTTGAATATAAAATTTTGTATTGTGCTATTTTTCTTGACTAGCATATGGCAGTGAGAGCTTCAGACTAGTCACAGAGGGCTGAGTCTTGGGGATTCAATGAGAAAGTCGCTCAGAATAATTTTATATTTTAGAATCAAATATTGTTTGTTTCCTGTCATGACTTCATGAATCATATAACTTCCTTCTCTTTTTTTAGTGTTTATTATCCTCTAGATTCTGGAAACGTTTCTGTTTGCCAAGAGCAAATGGCACAGAAGTGACAATTATCAAACCATGGCAGCCCCAGTTAGTCCTATGCTATACATTTCTTCTCCTGTAGCTTAAAAACTAATAATCCAGAAATTCATGAGTGCTGTAGGCTTCCAGTGTGATTTGCAGCAGCAAGATTTCTTTACCACATCATATGATTAGTCCAGTCTACACTGTCTACATGTATAATTTTCATGTGTACATGTGACAGACTGAATCTGGTCAGACTCTACAGTCAAGCCCCACAATTTGCATTTTTTATGGTGGATCATTTTAACAAAGCACTGTGAGACAGAAAATACTAGACCTGTATGTGTTTCCCATAAGTATTAGAGTGTCTCCTACCTCTGTGATATCTGAACACAAACCTGGGTCATAATCCCACAGGCTTAAGTCATACTGTAAATACCAGACAAATTACTATCGGATTAGCTGGGCAGTCTGTTCATTTACTCAATACAGCTGCACTCCAGAGTCTTTTCACCACTGCTGTCCATTTAGAACATGGATGCTTTGTCCTTAAAGTAAACAAACACAGTTTCTATTTCGTGTCTCTCATCTTACCATTTGTGACCAATAAGGACCACATTTCTACTTCCTCAGGAGCAAGCAGAGTGCTCCTGGAGAAGCCAAGAAGAAAGCTGCTCTTGGTACTCATCTGCATGGCAACATTTATTTTAAATCTGTAAATGAAAAGTCCCCTGAAAGGGCTGCATTCCATTTTGGTCATATGGAACACAGAGAACATCTTTCTGGAGGTAGGTATGAGACAGCAGCACAGATTTGCTGAAATTTCCCAGGATTTGCCACACTTTCTGCAGGAATTTCTGTTAGCTCCAACCCCAGTACTTCTGTCAACACCAGGAAGCATAAAAGCATCCAACTTCCAAGGATCAATGGATGGATCTGGTGTAGCACAGGGTTTGCAGGGGATTTCTGCTCACATAGGAATAAGAAGCATGTTTAATAACATTCAATATTGTCTGCACTTTGCCAAAATCTTCCTACCACTTCACTGCAATTATTTATAAATGTCATTTCGCATCCCTTGTAATTGTTCCCAATTACAAGAATCATCTTGCCTTTTAGGTACAAACTTGCTTCCATCCAGCACACAAATCCTCCGTTATTGTATTATTATTCCTGTGATCATTTAGTGAAACCTGACTGAATCACAGAACTAAGATGTTCATAAATGATATTTAGGATTGCGGGCCACAAAAATATTAAAGCTGAATAAAGCAAACTGCTGCTGCTGTTCTTAATATCCTGGCAACTCCATCCTCACCTGCACCTTCTGACTGTGCTGGTTTTCAGATCAATTGGCAGTATGGCCTCCCAACCAGGCATACCAGTACAGCTGAAGGGGATGCTCTGTGGCACGGAACAGGAGGAGGTAGTAGGAAGGAAGGGAAGGTTTCAGCCAGTACCTCTGGTTGCCATCATACACACCGTGATCACTGGACAGATTAAGGGTGATCAGTGCATCTTGGCCAAAAAACAACACCTGTTTGGTTATTTTCCAACAACCTGCTTGGACAATTACTGTGTTTTAGGATCCATCAAGAAAAGAGGGATGTGACACAGCGGGAAGATCCCAACTCACAAGGGACCTTTGCAACCGTGGAAAAGTTAATAAAAACTGACTCCTTTTGCAAGACCAAGCCATGAATTATGCCTCTGTAGTGCAGTAAGTGCACCTAAAAATCTTAAAAATATAACAATATGGAGACTGAAGCAATTTTAACAATAATCACTGCTGTTACCAATACAAGAAATTTATCTAAGGAATTCAGACTTCTAAGGGATTTTTGCAAGCATTTGATTTACTAAAATATGGTGAAAGACATTATCATACAAGGAAGAGTGAGGAGAAATTACATCAAGAACTTACTTTCTGCAGGTTCCTTAGATCTTCTGCCACTGGAGGACTTTCTCAGGAGACTTCGTCCCGAGGTGAAGAGGCTGGTTAGTTCCTCCAGAGGACTGGTGGGTGTCCGAGAACGGGAACCACTCTGAGATGACCCGTAGGTACTGACCGAGGCATTTACCATCTTTCCTCCTTCTTGCAATGTATTTCTGGCTGTAGAATGAGGCACTGATGGAGAGCTTCTTGAGAGACTTCCTGAATGTACAGAGTCATAAGGTGGAGGTCTTTTGAGGCTTAAAGGGGTAAGAGACCTACCCATACTGACAGGAGAAGGTGAGGCAGAGTGACTTTTAGGATAACCGTGTGGAGACTGTGTTCTGTATAAGGTAGAAGGATGAGGAGGTGAGGAGGTGTGCCCAGGGGTGCTAGTTCCATGAGATACTGTCTGGTCTTTCTCCAGTTTTTGATGGCCTGGTGTATGAGGTGGCAGTGAAGATGGAGATGCTCCAGCTTGTTGTTTGATGTAAGACACGTTTTCTAAAACAGGAAGCTTTGTGACCTCCAGTGGAGTTAGAGGAGACTCGTCAGAATTCGGGGAACACTGCACTGGTGCTGGTGGAAACACCAGCAGTGGAGGTCTGTGAGAAAGCAGATTTGGAAATGGCGGGGGTATGTCACAAAGCAAGCCCTTGGGAGTAGATGGCACTGAAGACTTGGTGAAATCTAGGTCAGGCACTGTGGGAGTAGCACACTGAGAAGAACAAGTGTGATGGTCATATTCACATTGACATTTTGAATCTTGGCCTACATCATCAAATATAGGGTATTTCATCTCCTCATAGACTGCTTCGCTTTGGTCATCCTCGTCTTTTTTGAAGTCTCTGAGAATATTCCCAACCATTTCGATATAAACAGGCTCCTCTTCCTCTGCATCTGGGGCAGGGCTGCTGACCTGAGACAACGAGGCGTCCCTAGTGAGGGTTGTCTTCATAGGGCCATGCTTTTTGATATAAGTTTCATCAAAAGATGTGCTTAGCTGCGTGTTTGGGTTTCGTTTCGGCTTCGGAGGTGGAATCTTCTTTGTGTACTCATCACTGTGAGGTCTTGGTTTGGCTGACACTGAAAGCAGAACAGAACATAAATTCATCAGAAGCATGGAACACAAGTTGTCAACCACGGGGCCTCTGTTACACTACTCCATAGCTCTGGAGTGGATTGCCTGGGACCGGCCCGTTGCCGGTTTGCTCTAGTATTACTTCAGTCACAGGAAGACTATAAAAATAACACCCCGTTCAAGACACTCCTCATCTGCCCCCAGAACGCTTCGACACTCCAGCATTAAGCAGCTAGCAAAAACCTCCCTTCCTGTGAGACATCTGTTCTCCACCAAACTATTTGGACAGGGGGCTTTCCATTTTTAAAGATTATGCTTTTCAAATACCACTGTGGGATTTTAAAGACCCAAAGAGGTGCCCAAGACAGAAAACTAAGTACCCAAATGAACTCCTTAAGGCTGTGAGAGAACAATTAAGATCCCAGACATTCACATTGGGATGACAGTGATATAACTCTGCAGTGATACAGGGATGAATCAAGACCTTTTTATTTATAGCAGCCCCTTGCATAAAGCACAACAATTCTCTCAACACTGACTGTGAGGAAAACGCTCACACCAATACTGTACAATTTGCTCTTGGGGTAATCCTCATCATTTATCTGGACTCAGGCCTGTGAATTAATGAGACTTCAGTGAAGTCAAGGAGGAACCAAAGTATCTCACAGACTCGGATCCTTCCCAAGCAGGTTACTTCTAGAAACAATAGATCATTTTGGTTTTGAAATTACAAATCAAAACATTGTGATGAAATAAGATTTGAAATGAGAGGCCAAGAGTTTCTTAGAAATTATCCTTTATCAATTAACCAATAACGAAACTCACGGAAATTGCATTGTGCTCCCTTGGCATAAATAGTTACTAAAGCAGCTTGTTAAACATTTGGGTTAATCTGAGGCAGCAGCGTGACCCTGCCCTGCCCGCTGAAGGGCGGGACTTGGGCAGCCTGCAAGGGGCCAGCTCCTGTCTGGGAGGTGATGTGTTACAGCAGCTTACTGGGGTGAGGTGGTCTGTGTCAGAGAAGTGTTCAAACAGTGCTATCCCCTTTGTCACACCGCTGCTCTGGTCTGCTGAAAACCCTCTCTCCATTTCTTACAAGGCATAGCAATGAAGGCAGATGTTAAGCAAGATTCCAGTTTTGTTTGGGAGTAAGGAGCTGTGAACGTGTGTGCACACATATGAAGCAACGAGACCACTCTTTGTCGGCAACGTTTGTTTAAGCTTAAAGTATAACTAAGCTACAACAAAGCAAAAATAAAAATAAATCCTCCCAGAATTAAAAAAAAATTACCCCAACCAACCTCGAAAAATGTTATTACTCTTTTTACGATGGTTCCAATTAACGCGTTCAACTTTGCAGCAGGCTGGGGACGCACAAAAGCTATCTCAGATAAGAGTGTTTGGTAGCTTGATAGTTTTTCACTATGTGGATATATCCTAATGCACTTTAAATTTGACTTTTTAATTAACCCAAATTAATTTTCTTGAATGTATCAGGATAGACTTTTGGGAATGAGATGTAGGCTACCAGAATCATTTGGGCTTTGCACAAAATATTACTCCTGATGCATTTGACAATACTAGCAGATTTTTCTTGCTGTACTTCCAGCTAAATCCCTATTTCCTTTCTGGTTAGCCTGTTACTTGTGCATTACGTTCATATATATTCTGCTGACATAAACTTGATCTCAATCCTCTCTCCACACCTCTGTTAATCTGCTTCATGACCCTGGCAAAAGCTATCTTCTTCAGATTGGTGTCATTAAAAGGAATAGACAGTCGGTGAGACTGGCACAAGCTGCCTGATTGTTTCTGAACACGTCGTCCAGGACCTGAGCTCTACACTGGCTAAAGGACTGCAGACTCTGCTGCACCTGAAAATTGTATATTTTGTCTACAGGGGCTTCTCGCCATGGCCAGCTCCCTGTGCACCATGCTACCATCTGTAACGGGGGAGCAACGTTCCCTGCTCCTCTGTCCTCCTCAGCCCCCAGCTCTCTGTGCTGGCCCCCACACCTCCTGTGCCACCCGTGCCACGCTGAGCGCGTGATCACAGACCTACTCTCCACCTCCCCATCTGCAGAGATGTTAGTGGTGGACAACGAAATCAAAAGATGCTCTTATGCTGAAAGTCATTCAAGATAAGTGTTAACTGATATTTTTACAAAAAATCCAGCTAGAAGTGGTTTAGAGTACTGTGTTTTCAAGCAAACTGCTAGAAATAACGCATATTGCCTCTTCCCTCCTTCCATTTTCACAGTTTTTATACAATCGATGGGGCTCAGCCACATGGTCTAGGCCTGTCCTCTGGTTTGCACAGACAATATTCACAAGTTATTACATTACAGACAAGGAAATGAGAAATGTCATGGAAAAAATGACTGACATTCTGCCATCTAGTCTCGTGAAGTATTTTTGCATGGGTTGAAATTAAGTACTGCAGTGACACGCACAACGTTCTCGTCTGCCACTGCATGATGTGTAGCATTAGCCTAAAACATCTTGCTGACATTATCAACCAAAAGGTCAAATGACCCAGCCTGGACGTATGGTACACAGGGTAAAACGTGACAAGGTAAAAGATTTACTTTCCTTTTTTTTATTAAAAGATTTTTCTTTTCCTCTGTCACAGTTTAGTTTATTAAAACATATATTTCCAGCAAGTGTTAAGTTACCATGATCTTTTCCCTCATAGACAAACCAGACTTTTAAAACTAATATTTAAAACTAAACACTTGAAGTATCTTATAAACCTTATAAAAGTACAGAGGTACCTCCTCCAGTGCCCCAGAGAGCAGGAACACTGGGTGCTATAAGACTTCCTAGAGAAAATACACAAGCAGATGGACAGTGCAAAGAGCAAAGGAATATTTACTGTCACTGGGAACAGAGAAGATGCTCAGAACCTACAGGGAAATGCCCTCAGCTGCAGTGGGCATCCAGGAGGTAAACTGAAACAACTTTAAGAAGGGTATGATACAAGATGCTCATCATGTTTGTCTAACAGAAGTTTCTATTCTGACACACCTCCACAGTGAGGGCTGAACTCCACAGTAAAAGACCATGGATCATGAACCACTGCTCCAGCCCAGAGGAACGGAGACAAACCCTCCAGGAATCCTGCACCTGAAGGGAGCTGTGCAAAGCTAATGAAAGGAGCAGGGAGTATTTGTACAGTTCCTGTGTTACCAACATTTGGCAGGGATAAATATGCATGAATGCAGAAGCCCTGGCAAGATCCCATAGCCAATGAAAGGAGATTATTTGGCAATCTCTGGAGAGGAACAGGCAAGATTGCTGTAAGTACTTGACATTTATCAGGCAGAAAAAGCATTCGGTGCCTGCTGGGAACACACACTCCTATGACAAGCAAACCCTGCTGACACACTGGTGACACACATAGTGCCGTGTTGTCTGCCCTGAACCCGGAGCCATTAAGTGCTTTTCAACACGGATTACTACCTCCCTGGTGCAACTATCACCACTAACTTGCCTGGAGAGTCTGCCACTTGTACAGGGTCCAATCCAAAGCTAAATGTTAGAAATTAAAGTAGAGGACTATTTCTTGCTGGTGCAAGTTCCCCTAAAAAGCCATCTTGAAGTACTACACAAAGCTCTTGTATCACAGACACACATGAGTTACCAGGTCTGCGAGGAGACGATGAGTGGGAGGTAGCTCAGCAGTGGCTCCAGGGTTCTTAGCCCTACCAGGAGCTGTGGCAGTTCACCATGCTCTGCTGCCTGCTCCTTTTTGGCATCAGAACCACCCAAACTACCTCAGCTGACAAACCAGAGGCACAACGAACCTTGCATACAAAACTGAACTTCATAGTGTTCACACGGTTTGGGCCACAACTCTCCGTGTTTAATGGCATCCTACTACCAGCAATTATCTGGCTCTCATAAACTGCAAGTGAAACAAAACACAGAGGCTGTAATAGCTGCAGTTCTCATCTAGAAGAAAGATGCACAGGGCTTAAAATAGCCTTACGGGAGCCCTACTGAATAAGCAGAATATGACATTTTTGAAATGAGATATTTGTAGCGCAAAGGTTATGCATCGCTCTCAGACATGCCTGGATAATCTGCCTTTCATAGTTAATTTTGGAAATACAGAATGCTTCTGGTCAGCTTACCCTTCTGAATTATTTTTTACTCTTTAAACAGAGACTGAAATTGAAAATGTGTTATCAGATTGGTTTTATTATTTGCTCACTGTATAAGAAATGAGTGAAAATGTCTAAAATATATAATGAATTTTGTAATTTTCTGTTGTCCTTTGGGTGTTTACCAGCTTCTGCATTTCAGATTTATTGTGCTATTCACCATAACAAACAGAATAAAAATACATGTAACAGGAAAATTCCTCCCTTTCAATTTCTACAAGAGGCCATAGCTTTCAATTTCTTTCTAAATGAAGGAATGGTTTGGGGACTAAAATTTTTAAACATTCTTAAAAACATTACTTTACATGCAGAAAGAATTCGTCTCACCTTATTTTGAGGGGTACTTCTATGAAGAAAGAGCCTCCAGAAGTGAAAGGAAATTGAATTTCTTTAATTAAACCCTGAATGTACTGGATACTGAAACAAAGATTCAGATTCTGATTTACATGACATAAACCAACAGAGAAAATCCAGCTCTAGGGTAGCCCAGAACCTACGTGTGTGTGTGTGTGTGTGTGTGTAAGAGCAAGACTATGAGTAATCCCACTGGCTTTCCTGAAATGAACAGCTTGTCCAAAGTGGCACATAATCTTAAGTGCATTTGTGCCCAGTGTTCATATTGGGTTGGATTTCATTATCTCTTCAGACGAAGTTTGAATATTCTTAGTGAAACCAAATTTCGAACAGCCCAGTCCTCTGAACTGTGCCAAAGATGAGCCCTCAGGAGACCTGAGTTTAATTCACCTCTTTGTCACAGGCCACAGGGCCCTGCCTGTCATTTTACCCCTTGATGCCACTTTTCACCATCTATCTTTTGCCAGTTTAGGCTCTAAGGTATT